CACACACTGACATACACAGCTATAGCGGCTCCGTATGATCCCACCTGTCCGACTGTCATTTCAATACGATTTTGTTATGTTCATGCTGCACTTCTACTGCCCAGAAGCAAGTTTGGATATTTGTTTTCAATAAACTGTTCCAATATTTTTATCAACTCCTGGACCCTGGCTACTTTGTCTACATGCATCAGTATTTAAAATGAAAATAAAACTTGTATAAGCAACACTTTTAGTGTAGGACATTTTTTTTTGCAACAAATTCTTAAAAAAAACCCCACCATACTTGTGATAAGGAAAGTGAAGGTAAATCCTTGATTGTGTTGCATATTTGAGACAGTTTTGGAACAAACTTCCTCTGGAATGGATATCAGTTTCCATCACTCTCCAGACTTCTTCAAATAGTTTCTCTGCCTTGTAAAACTAGGGCACGTCGCAGGAGGGATGCTTGCAGCAGTTTTGTCAGTTGCAAAAGATTCATATACCATCTTATGGATATGAATGACATTTGTCAAAAACTACTGCGTGACAGTATCTACAACATTCATTATGACTTCCAAGAAGTAGGTTTGAGAATAATTGGGCTCTAACTCAAAAACGTTTTTTTTTTTTTTTTTTGCTTAGGAGTAGGAGAGATTTAGAACAACTTGTCATGTTCTTATAGTGGTCTGGACCCGCACTAGGGAGATTCATCCTCCTTGTGCTGGTGACCATTAATCACTGGGAAAGAATTCGATGGGTAAATCTAAAATGTTGAGGTGCCACAAAGACAGGAATGGAGAAGAAATCTTCCAATAGGATAACAATGTAGCTATTTGCCATCACACCACAGACATTCAAACATTTTTTTAATGAAGTGTGATCACATCACAAATAAGAGAACACAACATTTTAGAGACACGTATATCAGAGCCACTTGAAGATCTGTGGTGTGCTGGCAAATATGTACATTGCAACATTTATGAGCCAGTCTTCAGCTAGTAGTTGCTGCAGTGCCCTGTATCCTAGAGCCTTTTCCAGGATTTGTGTGCAATGCGAAAATGGATGGCATCTTCCAATAGGTATAGGTATCCTCCATGGTGCGGTGACAACTGGCTGAGGGAGGATTCCCCTCACTTTGGAAATTTTTTTTTTTTGTAGTGGTGACAGGACACAAAAAAAAGGAAAAAGGAAATCTCTCTACTTGAACATGGATAGCAAAGAAAACAATCTTATAGAGCAGGGAGTGGATAAAACCCCCATCTAAAACAAAATTTAAAAAAAAAAAAAAAAAAAGTTTGACTTAAGATATACAGTGGATCCAGAAAGTATTCACAGCGCTTAACTTTTGTCAATTTTTTTTTTATGTTACAGCCTTATTCTTAAATGGATTAAATACATTTTTTTCCCTCATTCTACAAACAATACCCCATAATGACAACATGAAAGAAGTTCTTTTTGAAATCTTTGCAATTTATTAAAAACACACACACACACACACACTTACTTTGCTCAATACTTTGTTGAAGCACCTTTAGCACCAATTACAACCTCAAGGCGTTTTGAGTATGATGCTACAAGCTTGGCACAGCTATTTTTGGCCAATTTCTCCCATTCTTTTTTGCACTACATCTCAAGCTCCATCAGGTTGGATGGGAAGAGTTGGTGCACAGCCATTTTCAGATCTCTCCAGAGATGTTCAATCAGGTTCAAGTCTGGGCTCTGGCTGGGCCACTCCAGGATTTTGGTATGTGGGCTGTGTGCTTAGGGTCATTATCCTGTTGAAAGATAAACATTCGCCCCAGTCTCAGGTCCAGAGCGCTCTGGAACAGGTTTTCATCAAGGACATCTCTGCTGCATTCATCTTTCCTTTGATCTTGACTAGTCTCCCAGTTCCTGCCACTGAAAAACATCCCCACAGTATGATGCGGTCACCACCATGCTTCACTATAGGGATGGTATTGGCCAGGTGGTGAGCAGTGTCTGCTTTCCTCCAGACACGATGCTTGACATTCAAGCAAAAAAAAGAGTTCAATCTTGGTTTCATCAGACCAGAGTTTTGTTTCTCATGGGCTGAGAGTCCTCAGGTGCCTTTTGTCAAACTCCAGCCGGGCTGCCATTTGCCTTTTAGTGAGGAGTGGCTTCCGTCTGGCCACTTTCCAGCACTCCACAAATCAGGCCTATATAGTAGAGATGGTTCTTCTGGAAGGTTCTCCTCTCTCCACAGAGAAACGCTGGAGCTCTTTCAGAGTGATCATTGGATGCTTGGGTACCTCCCTGGCTAAGGCTCTTCTTCCTCAATCACTCATTTTGGCCGGGTGGCTTGCTCTAGAAAGATTCCTGGTGGTTCCAAACTTCTTCCATTTACAGATGATGGAGGCCACTGTGCTCATTGGGACCTTCAATGCTGCAGAAATCAAGGCCCAGATCTGTGCCTTGATAAAATCCTGTCTCGGAGGTCTACGGACAATTCCTTGGACTTCATAGCTTAGTTTGTGTTCTGACATGTACTGTTAACTATGGGACCTTATGTAGACAGGTTTATGCCTTTCCTAATCATGTCCAATCAACTGAATTTCCCACAGGTGGACTCCAATCAAGTTGTGGAAACATCTCAAGGATGATCAGTGGAAAGCGGATGGACCAGAGCTCAATTTGGAGTGTCATGGCAAGGCTGTGGATACTTATGTACGGGTTTTTGGTTTTTTTTTTTTATAAATTGCAAAGATTCCAAAATGAACTTCTTTCACATTGTCATCATGGGGTTTTGTTTGTAGAATTTTGAGGGAAAAAATGAATTTAATCCATTTTGGAATAAGGCTGTAACATAACATATTGTATACTAATAATTAACAGTAGAGTGTATCCAGAAAGTATTCAGAGCGCTTTTGCCACATTTTATTAACAAAGTGTTGTATCATAATAAAAAAAAAAAATTAAATATTAGAAGATCATATTCTTCCGCATCAGACTATGACAGATATAAAGTTGAGTTTAGAGTGCTGCACTTTATGAAGGCTGATCCTCACAAAAATGACTTAAAATAATGTACTATATTTCCACAGTTCAAATGAAACGAGATGGCTTGTAAGCCTATTTTTTCCTTTATGTATGATTTCTTACGATTTAAAATAACGGTTTGCACTTTCCAGATTATTTCTATTAAGGCCACTTCTTGGCACACGTAAACACAAAAACATTGATTTTCAAATGGTCCATTAGCATTCTTTTCAAATGTGAAAAACTAAATACCACACAGAAATGATTGGGGGGGGGGGGGGGGGTCTGTTTCAGGAAAAAATGAAAATCTCATCAGGAACCATTAGTGACGTCATGTAGAGTTCCTTTCATGCCACCCACCAGTCCTATATTTACCCTAAAGCCAGTCATAGATGGATCAAATCTTGGCTGGTTCAGCAGGGACCAGCTGAGATTCAATCCATCTATGGGCAGGCTAGTTTGTACCGATATCAATCCACACTTCAGTACAACTAGCCTTTCAAAATTTTTCATGCGATAACTGCCAGCAGCTATATCCGCCAGCTTTGATCAGTGTGTTCTGACATTGAGGAAGGTTCCCTGCCAGGAGAACACAACACTGCTGACTGTGTTGGAGGACAAATAAACAATTTTCTTTCCTGCAAGCTGTGGTTGCTTAACATATAATCTGCCGTAGTCCTAGCACTGTAGTTTTAGGAATGCAGCAATACCAACTTTCACCAGTGTCCAGCACTGCAGCTAAAAAAATCTGAAATTATACCTCCAAAATACAGGAGCTTTAAACTGGAAAAAACAAAATAGTTTCAGAAGAGTAAATGAACCAGTTGCCTTCCAGAGGATTTACCCCCATTCCTGACCAGGCCATTTTTTGCGTTACTTTAACTGACAATTGCGCGGTCATGGAACGCCTCACCCAGATCAAAATTTATGACCTTTTTTTCCCCCATAAATAGAGCTTTGGGTGGTATTTGATCACCTGTGTGTTTTTTTTTTTTTTGCGCTATAAAAGCAAAAAAAAAAAAAAAAAAACGGACAATTTTGAGAAAGAAAAAAAATATATATATATTTTGGACTTTGTGCTATTAAAAACATGTCCAGTAAAAAATATTTGGAAAAAAAAAAAAAATCAAAAATTTCATCATAAATATAGACCAAAATGTATTCTGCGACATATCTTTGCTAAAAAAAAAAAAAAATCCCAATACATGTAAATTAATTGGTTTACGTGAAAGTTTTAGAGTTTACAAAAACGGCAGTATAGATACTGGGATTTTTTTTCCCCCTACTAGTACTAGTAATGGTGACGAACAGCAACATTTTGCGCATTCTGACAGGGTGGGGGAAAGACTATTGGTGACACTGGGGTTGTCAGTGACAAGTTAGAGTGCTCAGTGCTAAAATACAGCACTGATACTGTACTAATGACACTGAGCAGGAAGGGGTTAATGTGAGGGGCAATCAAACGGTTAACTGTGTGTAGGGAGTGTTGTACTAGGGGGAGGGGGTGCTCTTCACTGCAAGCACACTGATCAGGATGGCTGTGCACAGCCATCCCGTGCAGTTTACCCGAGCTGACAGGAAGGAAGACTGTTTGTAAACCAAAAACAGTCTTCCTCCCCATCGGTGATTGTTGGTAATCACCAGCCGGGACCTGGTGATTGACATCTGCGAATGGCGGCAAAGGGAGGGCGCGTGCACCCCCTTAACCGAAAATGCAAAATCACATACATATATACACACACACGCCCGATTTTCCACACTCGTGCTGCCATGTATCAGTATATCTGCTATATGGCGGCAGGTAAGTGGTTAGGCTCTCCCCATAATCTACTATAAAAAAGTACATTTATAAATGCTAGAAAGAACTTTCCATTATTATGCTGTAGAAAAAAAAAAATATATATATATAAAACATATTTTTGACTGAAGTTGATCTCATACAGTATTTGCATGTTTTGTGCAGTAGAATTTAAATATATATATATAAACATGTTTTCCTATAATTATTTTTGTAAAGCACATGTTCAGTCTTGTTGAAGTGCTGTGATAGCGTCCCCAGTGGCAAGTTGTTGATAGAGGTACTGTAGTTTAGATGGATGTGGCAGCTCAGCTCCAGGCGATGAAGGGATCTCAAAGTCTGAAGAGCTCTGAGAGTCTGCTTTTCTAGCACACTCAGCCTTTGTCAGGTCCAGTACTTCACCTTGGTGTTTACTTACTCCAAAAGGCAATTGTTTAGCATCAATAATAAGGTTACATTTAACTGTGCTTTGCCCTTCTGGCAAGATTTCTTCATGTAAATCACCTTCTAAAATACTAAAGGAAGACCTATGTACAGATGCCATTTCAGCAGCCCTCCTTTCTTGTGATGACACCAGCACTGTGTCGGCCTGACCGTCCCATCCCTGACTACCTTGTTCAGAGATATGTGTAGACTGGGAGGAATTCATGGAAGATATATGAGTGGAATCATCATCTGAATCACTGATCAGTTTTGGGGACTGTGAATTCTTGTCATCCCCTGACCTTTCTACATGGTTTTCATTATCCAAAACATCATCCCCTTCTACAGCAGATTTGAAGAAAGTGCTCCACTTTGGCACTACATCTGCTGCAGATTTGACATGCATACAATTATCCAGTTTATTTTCAGCCAAATCTGTGCACACTACAGAACGCGCGCCACTCTCACTGGGCTTATGCTCTGGAACTGGTAGTGGGGCATCCGCTTCTTCATCATCATCCTCCTCTCCATTGGACTCCTCACACTCCACAAAATTTACTGTTGTGGTAACAGGAACTGGGGAGGCAGAGGGATTCTCTCTAGGCTTGCTGTGTTCACATTTAGCAGAAAGTAGGTTTTCCTCTGATTTCCAGCAGCAGTTATCCCTGAAAATTTTTTGCTTCAAATGAGTTAATGGGTAATCATCGAACAAATCCTCAATGCCATCTTCGTCTGTAAAAATAAGATGCAAGTTAACGCTTTCAAATGATAGAACGTCCATCCACACAGTCAGGTTATCACAAACTTGCCTGATCCTGAACCTTACACAGTGACTTCACTGCAGGGTAAACCGTTCCTATATATAACACTAGCGTAATGATGTGCGAGTGCTGCTCAGGCCTGGAGTACTGGGAGCACAGCCTGTGTGAGGACACACACCCGCCCCCCACCAGGGTGTGGTGAAATGACAAGATAGACTTACCGGAAATGGCCAGGCCCCTAAAGCGGGTTTTTGGCACTGGACCAAGCAGGATATGTCAGGACAGTACAAGATCTGTGCACAAAACATCATGTCCAGAGACATTTTGTTGTGGAACATTCTGAGAGCTCCCTAGTCAAGCCAATTTAGTTTTGTTTTTGGGGCTAGCTCCCTGCAAAGAGTACACAATAGCACCGATGCAGACACGACTATACTCTAATCCAGCCTCTCAACCAGGGTGCCCTGGCAAAATATCTAAAAGTTGCCCAAAACTTGGAGCCATGCCAGCGGGTGAAACAAGCCTGCCTTTTAGTTACACAAAGTCACAGGTTTTCATTGTGCTCCATTACGACCTTCTAGCTGCCAGAGTCCTGACAACCAATAACATCATCAGTTGATAAAGAGGATGTCAGCTGCCTGCACAGCATCCTAGTTTGACCTTCACCTGCCCCTCTCCATCAGTGCTGGGGTCACATTAGCTCAGTGATGGAGAAAACCTGAGGGAGAAGAGAAACACTGGAATACTAGTCAGTACCAGAGTGGAAAAGTGTTCTTGCTTTAGAAGAATAAATCACCTCTAATGTTGGGTGTCCTACATGTGTGGATGTTGCTGCATTATATAAAACTATTAGAATAGTTTTTCACATTTTAGAATGGAGTGCCTCAAGACTGTCCATAATTTTAAAAGGTGTCTCGGGACTGTCCAAAATTTGTAAAGGGTGCCTTGACTGAAAACAGGTTAAGAAACACTGCTCTAATCTTCCTGGCAGCATAAATTTGTATGATTTCCACTGGCAAACATTCTACAAACTTAAAACATGGAGTAGCTAAAAAAAAAAAATTCAAAAAACATAAAACTTTATGTAGACTAGATTGAAAAGGAAGTATGGCTAAAGCTTTTTGGACATACTTCTCTTGTGGGTCAAAAGAGTCCACTTGTATTCTCCTGTGACCCAAAATCAGCTAGCTAAAGCCCATGTCAGCTGATATCACAGAGCCACTCAAGGTTCTGGAGGGATTCAGGCCATATTGTCAGTATCCATCCAGCTGCCCGATTGACAGCTGGCTCCAATTCTCACTGCGTAGATGAGAGCTGCAGTCAGCCCCTCTTCTGCCCAGAACTCCATTGAATGCTGGAGGGGCAGAGCAAAGAACAGTGACCTGCAATCACTGTTCTCGCTCCTCCAAGCAATCAGTTGTCATGTGATCACTCAGTTGTTGGGCTCAGAGTCAGCGGGGGCCAGCTGCAGCAATGCTGCAACATGGAGGTAAGTATATGCTTTTTTTTTTTTTTATAAATTCCACAGTTCACCTTAAAGACATTGCCAGAAGATATTTTATACATGTACTGAATGTCAACAACACAGCAACTACAGCATCTTACTAAATGCTTTTGTTTCAGGTGGTGCAAAACTCGGCACAAGCATAATATACACAAGTGTACAAACTGCTCTCCCTAACCTCATAAATTCACACATCTGCTCCCCAGAATCTGAATAAATGAAGTAACATATGTCAGTCATTGAATGTGCATAACAGAACACGTAAAATAAACAGTTCTCACCTTTTTCCAACAAGTTCACATTCCTTGTTCGCTTCAGACTGCCCAGTGGCTTATACCGAATTACAGAGCTTTCTGAAAAGGATCTACAAAGTGGCTTCAAGCTGTAAAGAAAGATAACCCAAGTTAAAGGATATTAAGTAATAATTTAATACTTTAAAGTGATCGTAAAGAAAAAAAAAAAAATCTCAAAATAAAAATAAAAAAAAAAAAAAAAAATAATAATAATAATCCACACCACAACTTACTTTCTCTGTGCCATGGAATTGCACAGAGAAGCCCTGACCATCTTTTCTTGGGTCCACCACTGAGGCTCCTACCTCTTCCTCTCTGTCCAGTGCCCTAATGGAAAGCCACTTCCCATGGGGGCACTTAGTGTGTGCTCGCTCCTGAGCTCTGCTGCCGCGTCCTTTCCACACAGACAGCGGGACTCGGGGGGGCCCCCCCTGCTCCCTCATCACTGACTTTGATTGACAGCAGCAGGAGCCAATGGCTCCCAGCGCCTCAGCAAAGTCAGTGAGACACGTGAAGGTTAAGAAGAGCTGCAGATATGCACGGTGCTGGAACGAATGAGGATTCAGGTAAGTATAAGGGGAGTGGGGGGGCCAAAAACCAATTCCTAAAAGATTTTTTCCCTAATCCAAGGAATGCTTGGCAATGTTAAGGCTTTAGGACCACTTTAGGCTTATCAAAAAGAAACATTCAGAATGTGTGATATTTAACCAATTCCCATCTGGGGCAATTGTTTCATTTTCTTCACACATGTTAAAACATGATTTTTAGCGATGAAATTATCTACCCCCCCCCGAATGTTCTATAACTTCTAAACACAAAGGTCCTGTACAATAAAAATATGGTAGTTACAATTATGTGGCACAATTTTTGTGTAACAGTTTATTAAAACTAGATTTTCAAGAAAAAAAAAAAAATGCACTTTGATAAATTTTAGTGCACACAAATACAATTGAATCCATTATTTGTAGGTAGGAAGTAAGGGATAAAAAAAAAAAAAAAAACCAAACAAAACAAAAAAAAAAAAAACCACAAACTTGTCTAGCCTCAAAACTGTATGCACCAACAGAATGGCAAAAATTACCAAGCCTGAACTTACCAAGAAGTGATGCTTTATATGCGGTTACAGCTCGTTAGTTTAGAATTACCATAAATGAAGGAACTAGAATTAGAGAGCCAGTGTGTTTGTCACAATCATTTATATAAAAAGTGTGTGCATTTGCATGTATAGATGTGCATTGGGCAACAGGGTTGCCTTGATTTTTTTTTTTTCTTCCTCTACATTATGTTTAAAAACAAAGTTTTTTTTTTTTTGTTATCACATGGTAGGTAACAAGCTTTCCCGCAAGTTATGTAAAAGTGATCAGACAGCTCTGCGGCCACTCAAATAAACTTTACAGGAAATATGGATGCCAGTTGAACAAACCTTAAATCAGGCTTAGAACATCTACTGCAGCCATTAGCCTATTTTAACCTCTTTTGGGTATAATACGGTTTTGAGTAAAACCCAAAGAACAAAAATATAAAATATTGCAGCTTACCATCCCTTAGAGGTTGTGGGTGCATTAGTTTAATACAAAGTACATTTTCTACAACATAGAAAAATACCTGTTGATCCTGCCAGAAACTATGTGTCTTTGTAACCTCATGTGCACTGAACTCTAGAATATCAGCATTTATACAACATATAAAATTGTGACCTGGTGCCTAAAATGTTGTGCCTCCATCCCTATTCAACAAGCAGAATTATCATCAGCATTTGTAGCTGTCAACAACAAAGTATCATCATCATTGGAGATGTTGAGAGTGGGAGGTGTTTGCAGTCCACCTTAATCGAGAAGCCTAGGGTGACAACTCCGCTCCCCCATGGATACAGTGCAGTGAAAGCTGTCACCTTTTGAACAGAAAGTGAGTTATTAGCAGAATGACCAGGTGAAAAATGGAAAGAAGGGATCTAATACAGCCAACATATTTAAGAACCGGTAAGCTGCAATATATTACATTTTGTTCTTGTGTTTAGTTGCATTTTAAAAAAACTCTTCTATTCATGTAAATGTTTATACAACCCCAGAACAGAGGGGATGTGACCACTTACAAAAAAAAAAAAAAAAAAAAGGTAGGTATAAAAAAAAAAAAAGGTTTTTTTTTTTTTTTTTTTTAATACATCTACACACAAAATGTTTTGCCTTTCATTTGTACTTTAAACTGAATGGGTTGTTTCACAAGGTGAGGGTTTACAAATACTTTAACCACTTCAACAAACGGGCACTTTTGCCCCCTGCCTGCCCAGGCCAATTTTCAGCTTTTAGCACTCACACAGCTTGACAATTGTGTGGTCATGTACCCAAGCTAAAATTTGTATAAATTTTGTTCACACAATTAGAGCTTTCTTTTGGTGGTATTTAATCATCACTGGGTTTTTAACTTTTGTTGTAAATAAACGGGAAAAAAAAAAAAAAAAAAAAAAAAAGAAGACCAAAAATGTAAATAAAAATAGTTCAGACATTTAGGTCAAATGTATACGGCTACATTTCTTTGGTGAATATAATCCAAAAATTAGTGTATATTATTGTTAGTCTGTCGCAAAGTTATACAGTCAACAAAATATTTTAAAAATCGATCAATCCTGATGTACTGATGCCCGATCTAATGTCTTGAGGCCCAAAAATGTCAGGACAGTACAGATATCCCCCAAATTACCGTAATTTGGAAATTAGACAGTCTGTGGTATTAAGTAACAGGCATGGCAAGGTTTTTGAAGTTGTAATTTATAATACTTTTTTGGAAAATAAAGAAAATGGGAAAAACAAAAAACCACACACCATTTTCCCCCCATACTGTCACCAGTGTAGTACAGCATCATCATATAACTGGTGTGATCAGAGACACAGACTGGTGACAATATGGAAAAAAAACAAAAAAAAAAAAAACCCACACTAAAAATCCTGTGACCAGAGTAATATAATGTTATCATAGTAACATTGTACTACACTGGGGAAGTGATAATTTTTTTTTTTTTTTAAAACACATTATGATTGCCTAAAAGCAGTGAATTTCACTGCTATAGGCAAGCATTTAAACTAAATGAAATCAATTAATTCAGTGTTTTTTGTTGTGATTAGGCACAGCTAATCACATGACACAGATGGGCTGTGATTGGTCCAGTCTGTACCATGTGATCATGGTGACCATTCAAAGTTAGCAACACAATTGTATACAATGGATGGAATGAAAGGCACCAGGGGTTAGGTTTGGCATTTGGTTTATATAACAGATTTTTCAACCAGGGTGCCTTGGCAAAATGCCTAAAAACTGTATACAAGCCAGTGCTTGGAAGAAACCTGCCTTTTAGTCACACAAAGCCCCAGACGTTCATTGTGCACCATCACAGCCTTCCAACTGCCAGTGCCCTAACTGCCAATGACATCTGTTGATAAGGGGTAAGTCAGGTGCCTGCATAGCACCTTTATTTCCCCTTCCTAGCCCCTCTCCATCATTATTGGGGGTCACATTAGCTGTGTGAGGGAGAGAAAAAGAGGGCTAAGAGAAACAAAACAATGAAATACTAGTCAGTTCCGGTTTGCAAAGGTATAATTTGCTTTGGAAGAAGAAATCAAATCAACTTTGGGTGTCCTAAAATGTAAGAATGAATCTATTTGTTTTGCATAATGTAACAACATCCACACATGTAGAACGGGGTGCCATGAGATTGTGCATAATTTTAAAAGAGTGCCTTGATGGAAAAAAAGGTTGAGAAACATGTTGATTTAAAGGAAACCAATGAAAAAAATATGGGTGCTGCAATGCTTACATCCCTTCTTGTAACAATATTAGCTGCCTAAAGTCCATGCTGAACCAGTGTCTTCAATGCATTCGGAAACACCGACTAGAACAGAAGCTCTGACTTCAGAATGAGTTTCTAATCTGTATGCCTGTTATGACCAAGTGACACAAAGCATGAAAATCACACACCAACAGCCTATATTTCTTTCACTACAGTTTCCCTATAATCAGACAGGTAGGCTGAATGTCTAAATACAGAGGCAGGCGGAAGTTTAATGGAGGATAAAAGGGCACTGCTAGAGTTTACAGTATAATCACCTCTACAAAGAACATGCAGTTTTACACTTTTCACTGGAATGTTAAGGCAAAAATAGCTTTTACTCACATTTCTTCCACATCTGCAACTGCTTTTCCAACAGGAATCACATTTGGATAAGCATTCATTGGCTGAATATAACTGAGAAAATCTTTAATCTACATAAATACAAAAAGCATGATTTAAATGTATTAAAAAGCATATCTTATCTGGAAAGGAAAGGCAGGCAGACAAACACTGACAAAAGCGAATTGGTTTAACGAGAGACTTTATACACCATTATCATCCAATGAGGCTGAAAAGAAAGTCAGAGTAGACATACAATTGTTGGGACAGTGGTAGAACATACCTCACTGTATGAAGAGTGGAAAGAAAAGCATGCCCGGTATGAACTGTCTCCGGTTCTAAAAGGAGAAAAGAAATGGGAATTACGGACTAGTGACTTCATGCTAGCTTAAAGCCAAAACCCAAAAGCAAAAAACACAGGCTGACAATGATCTTTATTAGTTAACCCCTTGACGCTGAGCGCATGCAAAAATACGGCCTCTCGGCGTCTGGGTACCGAGCAGCTGCATATTTGCGTGCAATTGCGCGCTCCCAGCACATATTAAAGTGACTCAGAGAAAAAAGGTCCCGATCTCCTATTTCGATCGGGACATGTTCCGGTCATGTGACCACCATGATGGCGAATCACGGCAGTCACATGAGCCTAAAACCCCACCCGCCTCCTGAAACTCTTAAAGGGCTGGAAGGCACCGGCGCGAAGAGGTTAAAAATCATTTTTAAAATGCTGAGGTTTTGTTAACAGTTGCCCGATTTGAAAAGCATTGGTATCAATGGAATAAAGTATTATTCAGGATTTATAGAGCATTTACAAAATAGTACAGTTAAAAAGACAAATTCAACACGAGAGGGATAGAAGGGCCCTGCTCATGAGAGCTTGCACTCTAAAGAAAGGAAAGTGTTACAAAAAGTATTAACTGTGCGGAGATGAGTTGATGGAAAAAATTCCAGTTAGGTAAAAGGTGAGAGACTTCCCTACAAAGAGGTACGTTTTCAAACATCTAAAAAGGATAGAGTAGAAGATAGCTGGATGGATTAGGGTAAGAGGTTCCAATGGAAGGGAGAAGCTCTTGAGAAATCCTGGAGACAAGTATGGGAGGAGGTGACAAGGGGACTAGAAAGCAGGAGGACTTGGGAGGAGGGAATAGGATGGTTTGGCCAGTATTGTGAGAGGAGGCTGGTGATGTAGCTTGGGGCAGAGTTGTGAGTGGCTTTGTATGTTGTTGTGGTTAGGGTTTTGAATTTTATGCATTGGGTGAGCAGAAGCTAGAGGAGGGATTGGCAGTTGAATAAATGTGGATGAGACTGGCAGCAATATTCATGATACACTGAAGGGGGGATAGCCTGTGTAGAGGTAGGCCAATAACAAGGAAGGAGATAACATGAGCGTGAATTAGAAACACTGTTATTTGTTAGGATGGGGCGAATTTTTGAAATGCCCTGGAGGTGAAGACAGGACAATTTGGACAGTGATTCAATGTGTGGGCATGTAGGCATCGTAACAACTAGTAAAAGTCTGGGCTGGATTCATATGGTTTCAGCTCTCATTACGCTGGTGCCAGGGGCAATTTTTGTTCTACACAGACCCAAGAATGTGATCCAAATACCATCTACTGTCTGTGGTTAAATTTATGCCAGTGTTTCTCAACCATTTTTCAGTCGTGACACTCTTTAAAATTTTGCACAAATCTCAAGGCACCTCATTCTAAAATGTAAAAAAATGAAACTAAAATGTTTTACATAATGCAGCAACATCCACACACATAGGACACCAAACCTTAGAGGTGATTTATTCTTCCAAAGCAAATATACCTTTGCACACTGGCACTGAGAAGTATTCCAATTTCTTTCCCCCCCTCACTCAGCTAATGTGACCCCATTACTGACATAAAGAGGGCTGGGGATGGGCAAACAAGGATGCTGTGTAGAGCCGGACATCCTGCTAATCAATCAATGAGATCATTGGTTGTTAGGACGCCAGTGGCTGGAAGTTTGCACAAGGATAACATGTGGCTTTGTGTAACTAAAAGGCAGGCTGCAGCCATCCTCTGGCTAGTATACAATTTAGAGCAATTTTTAGGCATTTTGGCAAGGCACACTTAAAACCTGAAGGCACCCTGGTTGAAAAAGGCCAATTAATAATTATACGAAGCTCATATTCTGACCTTGACAGAGTTTGTTAAATAGATACCGCAATAACAGACTGATACACATAGTAAAATTTAATGAACAACCATGCAGCGCTAGTAAACATAATATTGCATGCAAATCCTCATACGGTGCATATAATGAAAGTGCATATTTTTTGATAACGTGCCATCGCACGAAACGCGTAAGGAAGGTGCTCTATACCCTGTGACATCACACTGCATGGCTCCTGTGGACGGCCGGCGCCCATTTTGGAATTCCTTGCTACCAGCTGCTCACTATACATGTGAGTAGTTTCTTTCAGCTATTTGTCTATTTTTTCCCTTGTGGATAATAAAGTACTACACTATTAGTATATCCTGTTGTTTTGGCTCGTTACTTCCGAGCCCCCCCCTCCTTTAAGGATTATTGGGATGATCTGGTGGCCACATCAAGATTGGTTAGACTCCCCCCGGTGGTGAAACGACTACACGTCCTCTGCTATCTGGAGACCCTGAGGTTGTGATGTTTGCCCAGCTGATGCAGGCCAGATGACCTCTCTCTGTGATCCAGTACCAGTAGCCGGACGACCAGGAGTTGGTTAACACTCAAATGCGCATTACCATTGCGCTTTCTGGTTAGTGCAATCTACACTCATTTCTGTGGGAAGAATATGGTCACAGAAGTCACTTATTGTGTCACCTTTTTACCTTGAAATTGGTTTACATCATACACCGCAAGAACACTCTTGTTGAAATTTTTGATTGATTTATTCATTCATGCATCATCATTATTATCCCTGGACTTTTAGGATAATTTCTTAAATCTATTTTCAATATTAAGTGGTGTTCATGTTACCATTCACTATATGCACCGTATGAGGATTTGCATGCAATATTATGTTTACTAGCGCTGCATGGTTGTTCGTTACATTTTAGTTTGAGGCTCCTGGTGTTTGCCTTTCATGCAAGTCGCTTTTTGGTTATTTATCCAGCGCTCGTATCTATTTTGTTTTCACATAGTAAAATTTATTTACAATCATTTTTAAAGGCCGTAAATGCAGATCATAATTTTTTTTTTTTTTTTTTTAAAGAGATAATTCTCTTTCTTTGGGGGTTTTTGCACTAAAAGCAAGTTAAACCAGTAGTCAACTCAGCCACCATAATCCTACAAAAACAGAAGGGCAACATTAAAAAAAAAATAAAAAAAAACCACCAAGCCCTACAATGATTCCTTAACATGCACAGATTTCTTTGTTGAACGAAAGAAACCTAACAGACAACTTCATCCTCACTAAACAGCACACATGGACAAATCACATTAGTTGGCTATTGCATTCTGGCAGCTGGCACCCGCAGCTGTCAGAATACCTGAACAGTGGCTGCAGTCATGCTTTGGTGCACAATATTCTGCTTGGAACTTTCATCTCCAAATCAAAACCGCTGAGCTGGACAGTGCCCACAGGGTCACTCACGAATCAAATTTCATTGCATTCAGTAGGAAAAATTACAACATTCAATCTGTGTCTGGCCAGCTTCTTAAAAGAATAAGTTCACCTTTTAGAAAAGAAAAAAAAAAAAAAAAAAAAAAAAAAAAAAAAAAGGGAAGACCCACAATAAAAATGTAAATATTTTTTTTTCCCCCCAGGTAGAAAAATGTGCACTTATTATTTTCATCAGCAGAAGCCTGTAAACCATTGCAACAGTGATCAGCAGATCGATGGGGTCATGCAGGTCTCCTGCAGATCTGTCCGTATATCTGCTTGCTTGTATGGGATGTACATACATACTGACAGGAAGAATGAATGAACTACCACAGTGACATGGTAGTTCATTGAGGACCACAAGCTGACCGCTGCTAAGGCTGTTGGGACTTGTAGTTTCATTCACAGATGACTGTGAATGAATGACATGGCCATGTAGGTGGAACCCTGCATGGCCACTTTTTTTTTTTTTTAATTTGACAGCTAGCAAGGGGGAAGAAGATCCCCCGCTAGCTGTCAAAGCTGGGATGGGGGAAATCAGGGGCCGGTCTGTTCGTAACATGTTACATCCTGAATATGGGTGCAACATGTAACGGTAGGTGAACTGATCCTTTAAAAGGTTTCTATCTAGCTCTAACGTTTCCCTTTTAATTTTTGGATTGAGTGGGAAAGTTTTACCAGACAGGAAGGGAGATAATTTCTATACTTTTCATATAATCTTTTTTCTTAGAGGTCCATTGAGGTACACTGGAATTATAGAATTACTTAAAGTATAACTTTAGGTGAAATTTAAAGGAAAAAAATAAATAAAATAATGGTGAACAGGCAGAAATTTTCATGAAGAGACATGCTTTGGTCACTTCTGCATTAAAGTTATTTTCCTGCCTGTCCGCCCGCCCGCGTTCCGTGAGCCACACATGCATAGCTCACTGTACAAATTTGGCATTGCCAAATCTGACTGAACTCCAACAAGTGTGGGAATGATGCCAATGGCAGCGGCTAGCAATTGAGACCCGGAAACCCGGCCGCCTGAAGATATCGTCGGGCGGGAAGCAGCATCGCTGGAGCGCAGACAAGTATAGTTCAGTTTTAAGCAGCTGGTTATACTGCCAGAGGTTGACACTAGCAAAAAAAAAAAGTAAACTATATACACACAGTATAACTCGGCATCCAACCATCACGTCTAAATTTTTATGAGTAAGCATTATGAAAGCCAATAACACAAAAAGGTGAGACCTGTGTTATTCAATGAATTTCATGAAAAATTATTTATGACAAGTACTACAGGAATTGCAGAAATTCTCAAACAGTCGTGATGTCTAAACGCAGTCTGAGGGGTGGGCAAATCCACAAAGAGTCAAGAAAGTGGAGACCATACAGCAACAGTATATGAAGGAAAGGATGCCTGAAAGTAGGCTTGATGGAAAGGGGCCAATTTTGAAACTGTCCTGACCAAGGGTACAAAATGAGCAAACTGGTGTTTCAAATCAGGACAGATAATACTACTAAAAAGGGGAAGAAAAAGCTACCAGGAGCCATGGGTCCCAGATCAGCAAAGTGGAGGCCCACCCAACCAACCCCCCCCCCCCCCCCCGAGGGGGGGGCTAGCCATAAACTAATGGAATTTCATTAGCACTTATTTCAAGGAATGTTCATTCGATTTTCCATTTGAAAGGATGTTCTTAGCTATATGCTACATTTTTCTACAGATAAATAAAAATAAGAAAGGCCATATGACACACACACCTTGCAATTACGCTGGTTTTTCTTGTCCTCTCACCAAACCACATAGTTGATGGTTTAATGCTAATAATGCGTAAAGGGACTCCATCATCTGAAAACATTCCACAAGGCAATCTGTTACCTCGCAGGAATTCTTCATTCTTAAAAATAAATAATAGTTATTTATTATGATTATAGAAAAAACATTAGCGACCTAGGGCCAGTGGGAGAAACAATAGCTTGGAATCAGGCTTACAACACACTCAGAATGTGGGTGATGCTGAATATTCAACTGCCATAGTTCTTGAAGGCACCATTGTTAGGAGATGCCCCCTTCCCTGAAAATCCAATATCAAGTCCTCTTTTCAGGTGGGGCAGATTTTAAAAAATAGACCAGACATAGCTGGTTTAAAACAGGTACATACTGTAGGATGTGAAACACAATTACCGAAGGATGCCGACAGGCATGAATCTGTGTCCTGGAATTGGTTGTCACGTGGCAAAGAATTTCAGGCATATTCTTAAACATGTCCAATTTGTTCACATGTACCTGAAAAAAAATTAAGAACAATCATCATAATAATGAATAGGTCATTATACTGACACTTTTATACTGAGCAACACTGCACCCACACACATGCACCTCACTGACTGCCAAGGAACCTGCACTTTTGGCCACCAACTGCCACAGCACCCATTCGCTTGGCTACCAACAGACAATGCAACAGTGGTTTTCTCTCCGGGAGAGCCCCCTTGCCTAGTACTGGATGTCCGGCTTCGGCTGGGCATAAGGAACGGTGGTCCACCAGCCTTTTGGCCAGGAGGACCAAATGGGAACCTTGTCCCTGTCAGGAGCTTCGTGCCCCGGGGGATCGGGTGAACGGTCCAGCCCTTTCGGGGGTAGGACAAACACACCCCTAAGTGCACGTTTTTCGTGTGTGTGTTTCTGCACTTGCACTTTTTTGCGGACACTTACGGGTTTTTTCGTTACAGTCTCACGTTTGCGGACTTAAAAAAAAAAAAAAAAAAAAAAAACAGTGCTCTTGGCCACTGTACCAAAGTGCTTCTGCCAAGGAAAGGGGAATACATAATGTTTTCTGCCTTATATGATCTAAAATCCTCAGAAAGTTCCTTTTTTACTATGCAAGTATCCTTATATATTGCAATTAAGAAGCATAGATCAACAACAATGTTGTTAGCAATTCAGTGATATTGAGGAATTATAATTTTGACCCCAAATAAGGCCATGAATAAGATTAAAACAATCATGCAGTGAGAATTTCTATATAAAAAATGGAGCCAAAAGAATAAAAGAAAAAATGTTGCTGAGAAGCAAACAAGACAGATATATACTGTATATGGCAACATATCAAAGAGCAGTTTTAAAATCACACACACTCTCCTTCCCCCCCCCCTCCCTTCCCGTAGTCTTCTGGGACACGACAGGTCCCACAAAACTGCAGGACCATTCACAAAGCACAGGGCAACTCATACATGCGCAGTGGGCACCCGGCTGTGAAGTCGAAAACCACAGACGACTGCCTACAGTTAGGATTCCAGCACTTGGAACCAGAGGGCTAGTGAAGAACTAGCTCAGGCAAAGACAGCGCTGGATCCCGGGACAGGTAAGAGTCCATGTATTAAAAGTCAGCAGCTATGGGATTTGCAGCTGCTGACTTTTGCTTTTTTCCAGATTGAACCTCTGCTTTAAATTAATTCAGTAACAACTTTTAATGTGTATCTAAATGTAGCTATTGTAAGTGCCTGAATTTCACTTGGCATTCCCTGTACAGCAGAACTCAGGCTAGTAAAGGGGGGGGGGGGGGGGGGGGGTTTATCATCACTAGGAGCCAATCTGGTTTGCTGAATTTGGTGTACATTTATCTTTTTGCCTGGAATTCAGCTTGCTTTTAGATACTAGCTCTGCTAGCATTTATCAGTCAGAGGTCATTTAGTTTTTTGTTTTTTTTTTTTAAAACAAGAAAAAAAAAAAAAAAAGAAATTGTAAAATAGGTTTTTATGAACTCCAAGTGACAGTAAACATAAGGCTGACCTTAGACTGCTCCAATTTCAGTCAATTTCTGCAGTTTTGACCAGAATTTGAGTATTGTATGGCCTTGTTGACACAACTCCATTTGACAAATCCAATATGCACCACGTTACAGCCTAAATAATGTTAACATGTGGTAAAAGGTGGAGTTAGCCTTTAAATGCTCCACTACTCCAGGCTGTTACTAAGGTGTCCCTCTCATCACATCTTGAAGACTAGACACACGATATATCTGTCTCGAATCTCCTTCAGGAGAAATTTTAAGCACTACCAAGGCAGTGCTACTTTGCCCCAATTTAAATAGTAAAACAGAATTTAAAGCGTGAGTGATTAAATAAGATAAGATGAGACTCTCACCTTTGCTCCAAATTCCTCACTCAGGTTTGTGAATAAATACTCATATCCATAAGCTGCTTTGCAGTTAAGCCAAACAACATGATGAGGACTCAGTGTTATCCAGCTGCGTACCAACTCCAAAATTCCATATAAACATTCCTCCTACAGTAAGGAAAACCAAAAATGTATGAAACGTAATGCAACATTACAAAGAAAGAAATAAAAAGGAATATTAAAATAGACTTACTCTGCTAGGAATCTGGAAATATTTAGGATCGCAGAATGTTGTATCCAAATAAATGCTATCAATCTCTTTTACCCTAAAATAATTATAAATAACTATTAGGATGAATAACACAAGGGATATATGGTTAGCTGAAAACCAGGCAAATTTTATTCTTTTTTTCAAATACCCAATTTAGAAGTTACTTACCTCTCACAATAGTAAAAAAAACAAAAGTGTACAACCTTCCATTTTAATTATTACATTATAGTGTAAACGCAAAACATTTTTTTTCATTCTGAGCAAGGGAAGGTTAGAACACCTGTCAGTTTCCTTTTTGCCATTTGTGTCCCATTGGGGCTATTTCCTTTTACTTCCTGTCCCACCGCCAAAACAGGAGGCGAGAGGAAATCCCTCGAAAAGTGAGGAAATCCCAGTGTGCCCTCAGAGTCCACAGAACTAACGTCCCCATTACTTTCCATGAAAATGGTAAACAGGACAAATAGAGGGGGGTACAGACAGCAATAAAAACCTCTAAATGTCAGTTCTAATCTCTCTCCACTTATCCAAAACTAAAAGTTTTGCCTTTAGTTACATTTTAAGGGAAAAAGAATACAGAAAATAGCGTGTAGCTTACTAAAACCAACCTGAAACAAAGTTATACAGAAAGTGATGAATTTCTGTAAAAATGAAGGGTTACTGAATAAAAGTGAAGAGCCTTGTGAAGAATTACATTTTTTCCCCTTAAAGTCTGTAAAAATGTGGTTTTGTGCTTTATTTGTACTTCATGTAAAATAATAATAATAAAAAAAAAAATTTTCATTGACTTAAAATTGGGAACACAGCAGACTGTTGAAGGGCTTTGCCCTGAAAACCAAGCAGAAAAAAAAAAACAACAAACAAAACAACAAAACAAAACCACCCACACCACAACCCTATAACAATACACCAAAATTAGCCAATTGTCTGCAAATATACTAGGAATTCCGAACTCGGAATTTGGAACTCAGTGCTGTGTTTCGTCAGCAAGACTTCCCATCCCATTCCTGGGACAAACAAAAACCAAAAAAACATTTAATTCACAGGAATATAAAAAGGAAACCATTAATGACAGCAATGGTCTGTTTTGGTCATAATTAGCACTGACATTTCAGGCCAAAAAAGTGAATGCTCTGCTGGAATACATGGTACATGCTACCTGAGAAGCAGAACATCCAGGAAACTAGTAGTTTCTGAAAGAGAGGTTGATAGTTGAGCCTTCATATTTTTTCTGTTCGAACAGGTTTTTATAAAAATGTATCTATATATAATGGGAAATATTTTGTATGACAAAAGATTTGCATTTTTGACCATCCAGTCCTGAGATGTACACAGTACAGTTAAGGAATACAGCGATGTCCTCTCTCTACCCCCAGCCTTTTGCCTGGAGAGAAGCAGCAGCAGCAGAAAGATTAGATCATCTCTCTGCTCACTTTGTTTTCTCCAAACAGCATGTTCCTTGTCAAAACATTTGCATGCAGCATGCCTAATTGGCTCTCACACCTGTCACTGCTTTTCCTGGTCAAAATTCTGTAGTACAGGGGATTCCAAAATGCTGACATCAAGTCAAACTTTGAATTTACACTAACTGCATTTAAAAAATTACCTTTCATGATTTTTTTTTTTTTTGGAGACTTGCATTTATTTATATATATTTTTTATATCAGTCGGGTGTTTAGCTTTATGGCTTGCTTCCATTTTCGTTATATGGAGTGTTTTACCATACAAGCACTGAAACAATCTCTTTAAAAGATACCCAATATGTTGACAGGAAATGTATCGTTAGATTTGGGTACTTCACAGTTTATTCCACAACAGCTTTAGTCATGGTGACCGGTAAACCATTACAAAAAAAAAAAAAAAAAAAAAAAGGGAGGAGAAAGAAGGAGGCTTTCCCACACCATCATACTATATTACACATCAGGAGTCATGGGCCTGAGAACATATACACTACATGTACGCATTCTCAGAATTGTTAAACCACATGAGGCATGTATAGAAAAATAGAAAGATGCTATATTCTATGCACCTGTTTCCTGAATGTAAAAGCTCCATGCGTGCCACTTCTCCTTTCGCAAGTCTGAAATCTCCAGTATACAACACGGTGCCATTTTGTCCTTGGAACAAAAACCTGAAGGGAATTGAAGAATATTAAACGTCAAAGATCTTTGAAACGGTGAAAGAAAGGCAACAATTGTGCAGTATAAATTAAAAAGGTCTTTTTATTCAAATATTTTTCTCTCAAATCTGACCAAGCCCAAAACATTCCTAACAAAACATACTGACATATATTAGAATTACTTGTACATACATTCTTAAAAAAAAACAAAAAAAAAAAAAAAAAAAAAAAAAAAAAAAAAAAAAAAAAAAGACACCCACACACAACCATCTGAAGTGAGAGAAAAAATACCCTCTCAGATAATTGTAACAGAGATGTAACAGAGATGAATGTCACCAGTGAAAGATTTAACCTCTAGTCTTGCTTTGTTGACGACCCAAAATTTGTAATCATCCCTCAGTTTCAGTGACAATGATCATCAGGACAAAAAAGGTATGAATAGTTTCAGTGGGAACAAAGACCACAATAAAAATCTGAAAGGGGTTATAACCCTATATACCCTATAACCCTCTATAACTCAATTACTTTGTCCCAGAGGAGAGCAGACCCGATCCTCCTCTTCTCATGTTCCTCCGTCGATGCTCTTGGCTCCTCCCCCTTGCCGAGTACCCCCATAACAAGCTGCTTGCTATGGTGGCACTCGTGCATGCTCACTCCTGAGCCCTGCTCTGTGTTTCCATAAAAACACAGTGTGACATGGCCCCACCCCCTCATAACTTGCTGTCATGGCTCCCACTGCGGTGTCTGAGCAAATGAGGGAGAAAGACACTGCTTTTGTGCACATTGCTGGATCAAGATCAGGCTCAGTGTAAGTATTGGGGAGGGGGAACTGCACTCCAAAAGGGTGTTTATTTTTTTTAAAGTAAAAAAACCTTAAGACTTTAGAACCAGTTTAAAAGTAGAAAAAAAAAAAAAACACCCCAAAAAAACCACACACTGTGCTATGAGCAATATTTATGAATTTACCTGCTATTGCTGTAGGCCAATTTTCACCTCTCCAGTTAAGTCTGGCTGACACACACACACACACACCTCTCATAGCTGGCATTCCCCCACTCTGCCCTGTTGCGAAGATGTTACTATTCTGACACCCCGGCCATTGATGTTCACCTCCACAAGAGCATGCGTTCTCAGTTTCAAACACAGCACATGTAATCTCTCTCACCCATCAGAGTAGCTCTAAGCTCAGTGCCGGGGCAGAGGGGTGAATAGCAAACTGCACATACATAGTTTGAAACCAAAAGAGAGCATGCTCTTGTGATGGTGGAGATAGCATTATCAGCTGAAGTGTTGACATAGCAACTTCTTAGAACCTAGGCAAAACGAGAGAGCCCTAACTATGGGAGTTTTTCGGGCAGGCTACTGGAAAGTTGAAAATGGCCTACAGCAATAGCAAGTGCATTATTGAATATTGTTCATAACAGAACAGTTAGGTTTCATCTACTGGTGCCCCTTAACTGCATAGGAAGTTTTTTTTGCAAAAGATGAAACACTTTAAGCCCCTTCTCTGCTATTCAACTGTTAAATGCCAGAACAGTACGTAAAAAAAGGCTCCAATGTTTGAATGACATCTAAGGGGCTTAAACTGAACTTAGCAAAAGTGAAGACCCCCTCTACAGCCTGAGCCTTATATCCAAGATCGCTAGGACTCGTCTGAAGACTAACAGACAGCAAACGTTCTATGCACTTCAGCACCTAGGTTAACTTTTTATACTTTTTCATCTTCACTTAAGTAGTCTTAATATCCATCAGTGGGAAAATGAAAATCAGTCGTCATTTCAACAAACCAATGGCCCATCCACAAAAGGTTTACATTTAATACACTGACAGAACCCCCCCCCCCCCCAAAAAAAAAAAAAAAAAAAAAAAAAAACCAAAAAAAAACCAGAAGATCAAAAATTGCAGGTCAAAAGCCCTGTGTAAGTGGTGAGCCGCTGAAGACTCCTATGCAACAGCATTGATTGCACCTGCGCTGTCACATGCGCCTCCATACCTGGAGGGAGTAGGTCTTCTCCTAAACTCCCGTTAATGGAGCAGTGATTGAGCACAGGAGAGCTAACTATGGGCTGCCAAGGATGAATGGGTTAAAAGAAAATCATTGCTCTATCCAATCAGGCAAAACACCTCATTAATCAAAAAATGCATAAACTGGAAACACACTTTCCTTTTAAAACGTGCAACAATCAGCCATACCATTGTAACCACTGACAGGAAAAGTGAATAGCTGATTATTTTGTTACAACAATGTCATCTGAAAGTGGGTGGGATAAAATGTAAATGGCTAGACAACTGGGTAAGAGCAACTTGAAGATTGCAGCGCTTGTGAGATATTTCCAGTCTGCAGTGTTCACTACATACCAAAAGTGGTACTGCCACCAGCTATAAAAATGGATCACTTTACCCCTTACTGCCACATATACAGCACCCCCCCCTCCCAATCAGCAGCCATATATACTGTTCTATTTGTCTTTGTATCCCCAACAGTCATACATAACAGGTCTAGGGGAGTCCATGCCTCGACAGGTTATGGTTGTTTGTCATAATGTTAGAGCTGATCAGCATATGTTCTGCCTATAAAATTGCTTGTGACAGATTCTACATATGAATCAAAAATCAGATCAGTCTGTAACAAATATTTTTCAGACATGTTCTTTTTTTCAGGGGGGGGGGGGGGGGGGGGGGGGGGGGGGGGGGGGGGGGGGGGGAGGGGGGGGGGGGGGGGGGGGGGGGGGGGGGGGGGGGGGGGGGGGGGGGGCACAGTTCTATGTAGCTAGGGAGGTCCAGTCTGATGGAAAAAACAAGCAAACAAAAAACACAAAATAAATCCGAATATCTATTGAACACATGTACCGTGAAAAGAGTATCCTTCATACTCATTAGAAATCGATCATGCAGTAGCGTGACAAATATTGCAACTTGCATGAGATTCATGTGTGGGTTGGTAAAGTATATATATATTTATTCTTTTGCAGGATTGTCCAAAAGTTATTGTGCCTGTGGTACAATACTCCCATTTGTGACACAACTTATTTCAACATGGTGAAGGTCTTCTTTGCTTCAACTTTCCTCATCACCTTGCAAAAGTCGCTATTAACAACAAAAAAAAAAAAGGCTACAGGTTTTTCATAAAATTCGGGTGTAAAGTTTCCAACTATAAAAAAAAAAAAAACACCACACACACACACACACACACACCACCAGAGAAGTGTTGCAAATGCCTTATTGTACTGTAACAATATTTGTTATAGTCTAATCTGATTTGTAGCATCATAGGCAGAACCTGTCACAAGCATTTTAAAAATGCAGAACATACACGGATAATGAGGGAATAACACACACCTGGCCATGGAACAGCTGAGAAGCCAATTGTCCCATTACTTTTGGTCCCTTAACAAGTGGGAGGCACATATGCAAGCTGTTATAATTCCTACACGGTTCACCTCATTTGGATGTAAATACCCTCAAATTAAAGCTGACAGTTTGCAGTTAAAGCACATCTTGTTTGTTTCATTTCAAATCCATTGTGGTGGTGTATAGAGCCAAAAATGTTAGAATTGTGTCGATGTCCCAATATTTATGGATCTGACTATAATATATATATATATATATATATGTGGCAGTAAGGGGTGAAGTGAGGTTTATTTATAGCTGTTGGCATGTCCTCCATATATGTAATACAGCTGCAGTTTGTTAATAACTGTCATGTGACCACAGAGATGTTTTAAGGCATAGCTTTACAAACACCTGCACCAATGCTGTTAAGCGTGCCATAAAAAAAAAGTGACATGAAGTCCTTCATGGGAAAAGAGGTGCAAGGCTAAAGCACCATCTGCGACTTCTTGTGTTTACCACTAACCTCAACTAAACGAACAGACCAAAGGGATCCTGTGCGCCTTGCTTTAGTTAGGCCTGTGCACTATTAAATATTATTGGGAAATAACGTTATAAGTTTTGTTTTTCTTCTTGGTATAAATACTCAAAATGTAAGCAACATAAAAGGCTCAGTTCCTAGATATGGGTGTAGTTTATAAAAGGCATAGGTCTTCCCAAAACTGATATTTCGGAGTATATAGTTGCTGATGCGTTAACAGCCTGACGAAGTAATTACAAATACATACAACCACAAAAGTTAAATATCAGGGCCCAGATTGGTGCGAACGTGCATTCTGCCACAAATTACAGTAGTGCCCAACACAGTGCTGCACACAATAACAAACCTGTACATGGTAACCATTATGGAGTAGTTTGTGTGAAAAAAAGAGTGCATGTCCAATTTTTTTTTGCACATCAATGCATAGCATAGTATTCACAGAGCAGCAGATTGTGGTACATGGTGAACAAGATGAAGGAAATATCAATACATACAAAGTCTGACATGTCAGAGATCTTATCTATTGCCATTTCCCTCATCTTTTCATCTCCCAGTGCTACCAATTACCGTACTTGTTTTTAATTAATGTATGTCACACCTGTGTGAGGTGGGTCAGGTCATTACATAAATTTGGACTTTATTTTAAAATTTTGTATGCTGTGAAGAAGGCTCTATAAGCTGAAAGAGGCTGCATTTTGGGCACTGTCCCTGCATTTTTGTAACCAATAAAAAGCATTTATAAAAGAAGGTCATTGAGTTGGCAGTTATTCATTTTAATTTTTTTGACAATGGGACACACCTGTGTCCCATTATAAATTCAAAAGGTAATATGTTATAAAAAAGGAGAAAAAAAAAATCAAAAAAAAATCTGACAGGAGTTATAGCCCTCCTTTGCTCTATCCAAAAAATGTGTGTGTGTGTGTGTGTGTGTGTGTGTGTGTGTGTGGGGGGGGGGGGGGGGGGGGTGAACAACACACACAGGAAAAAAGTTTTGCCTTTAGTCCTACTTTAAAGGGCTACGGCAAATTTTTTTTCTTTCAATAGGAAGCCATATTTCTACTTTAAAAAAATGAATCTACATTAGTATATTAGCAAACATTGGAGATAGCCAGAAAAGTATTACTGAATGGGTTACATTACTGATCCTGGACAGTGACCAGCTGGTAAAAGTGTGATCAAAACGTCTTCTTTCTAGGAAAAGTAAAATAAGATATTACAAAACATATACTTGTACCTTTATCAATTTTTTTTTTTTTTTTTTTTTTTTTTTAAACTCAGTTAACTTACACAGAAGTGAAGGGCAGACAACTACAACTAGCACCAGTTAGGGTTGCAATTCCACATATACAATAAATTCTCACTGTGGTTTTTAAATGACAAACTGCAGGAAATAAGAAAACACAAGCCTGACACACACACAAAGTTTTCTGCTTTTCATGTATTTTATTAATAAGATAAACACATAAGCCCAACTTTATAAAAATGTGAATGTAACGCGCAGGTGTCATCTCACTTCTATGAGATGCAAGTTCGAGTCCTCATACCAACTTAAGAAGAAGTTCTAGAAGAGCTTAAAGAGCACTATTAGTTCCTTATAAAATGTGTCAAAGAACTCCAGCCGGCAATACATCAGTATCTTCATTTGACAATTCAACCATTTATCATGACCTTTTGAAACAAACAAACAAACAAACCTTGCAGATTATACATACAATACACTCAATGCAAGTGAAATTAGGAATTGTGAACTCCAATATTCCAGAATTTGGAGCTCCGGAACATTAGAAATTAAGAATTTCAAATGCCGGAATGTTGAAGTCCCCGAAATATTAGCGCTCTCGAATTTCAGTGTTCACAAAAAAACAGAATGTCGTTATTTATAGAATTCTATAATATTGGAGTTCAGGAATGTCAGAGTTCCCAAATTCCGGAATGTCAGACTCCCCAAACTTCAGAATGTTGGAGTTCCTGAATGTCAAAGTTTTCGAATTTCGGAGCGTCGCATTTCCCAAACCTCGAAATGTCAGCATTCCAAAATTGTGGAACATCGAACTTCACAAGTGTCAGAGTTCCCAAACATTGGAGTTCATGAATGCAGAAATATTGGAGTTCCCAAATTACAGAATTTCAAAATGCCAGAATGTTGGACTTCCCCAAACTTCAAAATGTTGCAGTTCCTAAATTTAAAAAAAAGGGATGTCAGTGTTCCAAAACGCCGGTTCTCAAATTCCAGAATGTCTGTTACCAAATTTCCAAAATGCCAGACTTCCCAAATTCTGGAATATCTTAGCTTCAGCATGTCGGACTTCCTGAATATCAAACCTCCCAAATTATGGAATGTCGGAGTTTCAGAATGTCAGAGCTCCCAGATAACTGGGCTTCCTGAACTGCAGAATGTAGTTCCCAATTTAAAAAAGGAATGTTGGAGTTCCCAAATTCCGGAATGTTGGTATTGGCAAACTCTAGAATTGTCAAATTTCAGAATGTCGGTCTATCCAAACTTCGCAATGCCAGACTTCCCAAAACTTCAGAATGTTGGAGTTCCGGAACATAGGACTTACCAAACCTCAAAAATGTCAGCTTTTCAAAATTCTGGGAATTCTGACATTCCAAACTCTGGAATGTTGGAGTTTGTGAATGCCGGAATATTGAAGTTCCCAAATTACAGAATTTCAAAATTCTGGAATGTCTGACAACCCAAACTACAAAGTTTGTAGTTCCTAATTTAAGGAATGTTGGAGTTCCCAAACTCCAGAATGCCAGACTTTCCAAACTTTGGCATCTTGTACTTCCCAAATATCAAAAGTTCCCAAATTCCAGAAAGCCAGACCTCCCAAATTCCATAAAGTCAGAGTTCCTGAGTAACAGGGTTCCCGAAATCCCAGAGTTCCCAAATTCTGGAATGAGGTAGTTCAAAATTCTGAAATGTAAGAGTTTCTGAATGTTGGAGCACCACAATATTGGAATGTCAGAGTTTCCAAATTGTTAGAGTTTCAGAATGTCGTGGTTCCCAAATATCGACATGTTGGATTTCCTCAACTTTGGCATATTCCAGAATGATGGAGTTTCAGAATGTCGGACGTCCCAAATTTCAACATGTTGGAGTTCCCAAACTTATCATATTGGAGTTCCTGAATGCTGAGATTCCCAAAATCCAGAATGTCAGGCTTCCTAAACTTTAGAATGTCAGAGTTCCCAAAAACTTCTTCAACCCAGTCTGCAGGAGGACCCAATATTTCCCCTGAACTTTAACCTGTATAAGATTAATTTTACACATTTCCATCCAATTCAGAAGGGAAGCTGCATTGTCTTTACTCAGAGAACTAATCCAAGCCTCACTCTCAGTGCATCATGTTGTTGTCCATCATTAGAGAATGATCTGCTCTCTCTTCATGAAACATGACCAGTGGTTACTACATATTTAGACCCATTGTAGTTCAGCTACCAACCTAGACTGGGAGTTGAGGACACCCTCATCTTCATGTTAAATTGCACGTATGCACACCTGGATAGGCAAGCAAGCACTGTGAGGGTCATATTTTTTTACTTCTCCAGTGTTTTTGATACCTAGCGGACAATGTTTAACAGGTTTTATGAGTCTGTGGTTGTCAGTGCTCTCCTGTATGCAGTGGCATGCTGGGAAAGCAGGTTTAGGGTAGCCAATCCCAACAGACCCAATAAAATGATCTGCAAGGCCAGGGATGTTGCTGGTTTGCAGTTGGAATCTTTAACAATAGTATCAGAGAGGAGGATGTTGTCCAAGGTATGTTCAATCTGGCACAATTCCTCCCACCCACTCCACAATACGCCGATCAGTCTGAAGAGTACCTTCAATCATAGAATGTTACAGCCATGATGCACCACAGAGCAACACACGAAATATTTTTTTTTTCTGTGGCGAAATTCTAGAATACTTGTGTGTGCTGGTGCGATTCCTCCCATGATTCAAAACGCCTATATGTGACCGGAGCCTTAATAAAGTTTTCTGAATCCGAACCAGCTGTATGCAGTTTGGATAAATGGCTCTATAAGGCCTCGTTCACACCATGTGCAGAGACATGCGCTTTTCTGCATCTCTCTCTCTCTCTGTAAGGGTGCAAAGAAAACAATTGGTTTTCTTTGTGCTTTGTACACATCACAACACTAGTATCATATTCGTATTTTATCTATGCAGAAATGTATACCATGTATGCATTTTTCTGCATAGAAAAAATAAAAACTATATGCATCATAATGTGGGTGTACTATGATTTTTATGAATGGGACACACAGAAAATAGTTTTCCTTGCGCTGTTGCAGAGAACTTTAGGTTGCATATTTCTGCCCAGGAAACAACACACAAACACTCACATGACACCAATGTTATGGTGTGAACAGGGCACATTGAAAACATTTGTTTTCTTTGTGTCCTTTCAAAGACCTGCATTGGAAAAATGCACATTTCTGCACACTGTGTTAACAAGTCCTTAAGTTCACAAGATATAGTCTAATCAAAAAAGTAATATTTTGGTCATAGATGGATAATATATCAAAAACACACACACACACACTTAAGAAACCTATGGATTAATTATCTAAATGCAAAACTGAAAAAAAACAGAAGTATCAGTCTTTGGCAGACTGACTCTTAACAATCCCCTCCAGTATTCACCTCACCAGTAGCTTCATCAACCAAAGAGATCTGAGTTGGAGTGTCCACTTCAATAGGTCTCTGTCGGAAAAAGTAATTTCATTAATAAAAGACACACATCAGCAACACTAAACCATACCAGCACAGTAAAGCATTTGCCTGGAAAGGCCCTGAAGACTAACCTAGACAAGTTGCACAGCAGAACAATTTTTTCTAGAAACAAACTGAGAAGCGTGGATATCGAGTTACTTTTTAAACGGCAAATGTATACAATGTGCAGGTTCTTGAACTCTGTAGATATCTTTGCTGCAGGGCTGTCCATCCATTTATTCCTTTTGAGCTTTCGGCACTGTGGGGATCAACAGCTTTTGGTCTCTGAACTCAGCTGCACTACAAGATGACCCAACAGGGACTCGCCCCCTCCTGACCTCTCCTCCATTGAGAAAAGTTATTTTGCCATTACACTGCCTGTAACCTGATCAGTGAGTGGGGAGACCATACTTTGACTGATCGGACTCTCCCCCATTACAGTCAGTGTAATCAGTAAAAGAACACCAAAACAATTATATCAAAAGCACTTACTATTCGGTTTTCCCAGAATGCATACTTAGGACTTGTCAACAGCAGCTCTTTGGTGACCGGAGAACAATAGAGGTAAACTTTCAGGCTATAAAAAAAAAAAAAAAAAAAAAAAAAAAAAAAAGGGAGGAAATTATTCAGAGTCAAACCATCAACAGCAGTATATTTTTTGGCTTAGCACAGGAGAGAAACAAGCCTGCAGGTGCTGCAGTGGACAATGGAAAAGCTTGTGGTCAGCAGACCATTGCATTATTACAGTGAAGGTGCTGCAGTGCCAGTCAATGGGCAAGCACACTGTTGCAGTACTTGATGGTCAAAGTACAGCGGAGACTGCACTGGGCATTTGAGTCAGCGGTGGGTGTGCATGACAGACCAGTACACAGGTGACTATCAATCAGTTTAAATAAAAGGTTTACATTGTTAAAGTGCCATTTCATGGATTAGATCATAGGTACTGGGGCTTTTGGTTGGTAAATGCATCAGTACAGTGACAAAAATTACATAACCACAGTGCCACTTGTTGGTAAGCTCCCAAGTGTTAGATCAGTCAGCGGACAAAACTATAGGTGCTATGGCAGTAGGTGGACAAGTGCATTGTTACAGTGAAGAATTACATTGCTGCAATGCCAGTTGGTGGACAGGCAACCAATTGTCATTGTAGCCAGTGGACAAGGGTCAAGATGCTGCAGCAGCCAAGCAAGTGAGAGACATTGTGGTGAGTCAACAGACGCAATGTTACAGTAAGGAATTACAACACTGCAGCGCAAGTCAGTAGGAAAAGCATGGCAGTACATGGACTGCAGATACTAACGCAATCAGTGGAAAAGCGTTACCTTGTAATGAAAAATTCCACAAATGCAATTCTAGTTAGTGAAAAAGCATCTGAATTTAGGTGTGATGACAGTCCATGGGCAAGAGTGCAGGTAACATGGTTGTCTGTGGCAAGAGCGCAGGGGACACCAAGAAGCATACAAATACTGTGGATGTCACTGTACAGGTGCCATGGTGGTCAGTAGGCTAGCATAGTGGTCATGGAAAAAGCGTGTTGGAGCCACTGTGACATCAAAAGTCACTGTCAGTGGACAAGCGCATAATAGTGACATTACTGACAAAACTATACAAGCACTGTTAGCCAGATCACTTCACCTGCATGCTGCGGAGGGCACAATCTTGGGATACTTAACAAAACTGGAGCGTGCAAAGTCTGGTGTAGTTCTGCATAGAAACCAACCAGCTTCCAGGTTTTTTTGTCAAAGCCGAACAAGCTGAAGTTAAAATCCGATTGGCTACAATGCACAGCTGCACCAGATTCTGAGTGCTCCAGTTTTATTAAACCTCCTCCACTGTGTGCTTGCCAATATGGCAGTGGACATTGGTGTTGATGAAAAAAAATGTCTACAGTGCACATCTGGGCTGCATAGTCAAGTAACCCTTGGCCAATAACTGAAATACTAAATATCCATAATGGATAAAATATTTAAAGCCCACATCTGGAGAAAAAAAACAAAAAAAATTTCATATGCAGTGGGGCTGTACCTGCACTGCATGGGTTAACCGCTCTTTTTTTTCTAGGGGAGAGTAAAATGGAGATATACTTACCTAATCCTCCCAGCACAAGACCAGTCTGGCACCCCCACGCTCCAACAGTTGTGGACTGTTCCTGACATCATCAGGCCCAGAGCAAGCTCCATAGACCAGAAACAGACCACTGCTAGACTGTGGGGAAGCACAGCACAAAAGGATCAGGTGAGCATAAGCTTTCTCCTCACCCCTAGACACAGCAAGCAATGCAGGCACAGCTCAACTGCATGGGATTTTTTTTTTTTTTTTTTGCTTGAAGTTGGGCTTTAAAATCAGCTGCAGCTTCTAACATGTAAAAATTGAGACTGCTCATACCAAGCTGCATTTACATGAGACAAATCCATTATGTTTTTTATCTTTAAAATATACATTTTCAATAATCAGATTAAAAAAAAAAAAAAAAAAAAAAGCATTCTCTAATGCAACATACCTGCATGCCAGTCTTCTTTTCAGGAGAGGAGCACGAAGTCCTTTCATGTGATCTGTAAAAAGTAAAAATTACCATGTTAATGTTTCTAATACCAAGTATGAGAAAAAACAATTACAAGTGTTTCAAATATGGGAGAAGTTAAATAAGCTACAGATAACTTTTAAGAGTTCCAGACCTTGGTGTAAGAAACACAGAGGGGAGAATTCATATGGAGTTTTAGACACCCCTAAGAGTTCCTTTGGGCTGCTGCATGAAAATGGTCAATGCTTGTAGTCGATTCATGTACCTTACATAGACAAGTACATGAATCTGTCAATGCCTGGTTCTGGGATCGAATCCATATTGGACACTCTTTCCTCAGTGAATTCCCTCACTTAAAGCAGAGGAGTTACAAACACGTCAAGTTTAAATGATAGAGCTGTAAGTGGGAAGCACTGGATTCAAGCCTTTGGACTCCACCTTTGTGCAGACAGTCTATGTCAGAGTATTATATTCGTTTTGAAGCAGCTCCAACTACATGCATTTGTGCTGTGCTCCGAAGCCCTATGTCTGAACACTCATTCTGGCACTCAGCAGGACTAATGCATCTTACAGCAAAGAAAAATTATCCCCTCCAGGCCACTGCCCACTATCAGCCAGCAGCGCTGAGGATTCCATGATGACAGTGGATACAGCCCCAGAATCACTAGATGAACAGTACCTCTATCCAATGCGGTGTGGTGGCAGGAAGGGCAGGCAAGCAGCAGCAAGATTGGCACGGGAACTCCAGCCAGTGTCAGTCCACCCAGAAAGGGGCTGACTCCGAGCCTCTTCCAGAATGCAGGGAGTACCGGGGCACACCTGAATGGAGGTGGAACTCTGCAACAGGTGAATATGCCATCATCAGCTTTAACCCTTGCCGGAGGGGAGTCGTGTGTGCAGGGGAAACTAGAACAGTGTGCAGTCAAAGAGTTTAATTTGGGCTCATTCCTAGGTAGAGGTTATTGTTTACAAATAAGATGAAGTGGTTCTAAAGTCAAACACTTTTTTATCTTACTTCACTTGCAGCATAAGGCACCATGCATACGGGGCGTTTTGAGAACGCTGGTAACGTTAGCTGTGTAAATGTGACATTAAAAACGTGCGTTTTTCAGCTTTTTTGCATTAGTGTTTATTTAGCGGCGTTTTCAAAAAAAAAAAAAAAAAAAAAAAAAAAAAAACACACAACACACCAGCCAAAAACAGCACCTGTAAAAACATCCAGTGTGCATGAAGACTAAAGCAAAAAACCTGTTTCCCCATACACACACCTGAGCGTGTCAGCAATTCAGCACTGTTCCGGCTGCAGCTCTTCCTGGTCTCACAGGAAGACACAAGCAGCAGGAACTATGGGGGTGGCCAAGTCGCACAGTGTACTTCTATTGATGCACATGGCTTGCTATGGGGGTGCCCACAGAATGAAGAAGCAGGAAACGCCAGCCTGGGACTGCAGAAGGCAACGGACCACTCTGAGCAGTTAGGTATAATCTCTCTTTTTTATTTTATAAATATATTATATATATATATTTCCACACAAATAAAAAATAAATAAACTGGACAACATTATTGGTACCCTCAATTTAATATTTGGTAGCACACCCCTTGGAAAAAAAACAAAACTGAAATCAATTGCTTCCTGTAACCATCAGTGTGTTTCTTACACCACTCCAATGGAATTTTGGACCACTCTCTCCTTTCGCCAACTGCTCCTGGTCTCAGGTTGGAAGCGGTTCCTTTTCCCAACTGCTGTTCTGAGATCTTTCCATGGGTGCTCTAATGGATTGAGATCTGGAAACAATCTCTGGATGCTTTTTGACATTGTCGTGATGTAAGACTCATGACCTCTGACAGAGACCCAACTTTCTGACACTGGGCCCTACATTGCACCCCAGAATTCTGTTAGTCTTCAGATTTCATAATGCCATGCACACGGACAAGACATCCAGTGCCTGAAGCAGCAAAGCAACCCCAAAACATCAGTGAACCTCCACCATGTGTGACTGTAGGGACTGCATTCTTTTCTTTAACCAGCCCCCGCCCACCATATAAGGCAATGACGGGCGCAAGGTGGTTCTCTCTTTCTGGGAGGACGTTATATGATGTCCTCCCACTCTAACCGCGCGAGCGCGCGCGATCAGCTCCGGGACACAGCAGATCACCGATCAACGGAAAGAGCTGAAGATGTCAGCTCGGTCATGTGATCAGCTGTGTCCAATCACAGCTGCTGGCATGTAAATAGGGAAATGCCGGTTATCGGCATTTTCTCTCCCCTTGAGCTGTCACGCTGACAGTTTGAGAGGAGAGCCGGTGATCGGCATTCCTCAGAGGGGACATGTACACTGATCATCAGGGCACTGATGATCAGTGTAGCCCCAGCAGTGCCACCTGTCAGTGTCCATCAGTACCAGCCGACAGTGCTCATCCATGCCACCTGCCAGTGCACATCAATGCCCATCTGAGCTGCCTTAGTGTCACCTATCAGTGAAGGAGAAAAATCACTCATTTACAAAATTTTAAAACAAAAACTAAGAAAAAATTTTCAGTTGTTTAGCAAAAAAATAAAAAACCCAGAGGTGATTAAATACCACCAAAAGAAAGCTCTGTCTCAAAAAATTATAAAAAGTTCATATGGGTACAGTGTTGCATGACCGCGCAATTGTCATTCTAAATGTGACAGCGCTGAAAGCTGAAAATTGGCCTGGGCAGGAAGGGGGTATAAGTGCCCTGTAGGCTAGTGGTTAAAGGCCTCAGTTCTTTTTCGGAACAGTAGAATGATGGGCTTTACCAAAAAGCTGTAACTTTGTTTTGTCTGTCCTCAGCACTTTCTTTCAAAATTATTTGGCAAACTCCAATCTGGCTTTTTTAGGTTTCTGGGTCAGCAGTGGGGTCCTCCTGCATCCCTCTTCATTCAGATGACGACGTAGAGTGCAAGCTGACACAGATGTACCCTGTGCCTGAAGGTCAGCTTGAATTTGTCTGGAAGTTGATCAAGGTTCTTTAGCCAACATTTGACCATGCTTCGTTCCAATCTTTGATCAATTTTTCTCTTTCGCACACATCCAGGGAGATTAGCTACAGTATCATAGTGCTGTAAACTTCTTGACAATGTTGCGCACAGTGGACACAGGAACATTAAGATGGACTTGTAACCTTGAGGTTGTCCATGCTTTTCCAAAAGGGCTCCTATATCCTAGCAAACAACAATGCAGGTCCAATAAACTGACAGTGGGTGGAGCTTGATGGGGAACCGTGCTGCTTGTGATTGACAGCAGATGATGGTAGGGGGATTCAGTCCAATAGTGGCTTTGGAATCATTCCAATGTCATCAGACCTAAATGTATGAAAAAAATTAGATATTTTAACTGCATTGACATGTTTAACTGCCTCCTGCCCACCATATAAGGAAATGATGGGAGGGCGGAAGTTTTCTCGTTCTGGAGGACGTCATATAACATCCTCCCCTCTAACGGCGTGTGCGCGCCCAGCATGGCGAGAGATGGTGCGCTGTGTCCATGGGACACAGCGGATCAGCGGAAAGAGCCGATGATGTCAGCTCTGTCATGTGATCAGCTGTGTTCAATCACAGCTGATCGCATGTAAATAAGGCAATGCCAGTTATCGGCAGTCCACTCCTCACGCTGACAGCTTGTGAGAAGAGGAGAGCTGGTAATTGGCATTCCTCGGAGGGGACATGTACACTGATGATCTGTGCAGCCCCACCAGTGCCACCTGCCATTGCTTCATTAATGCCACAGTGCCCATCTGAGCTGCCTTTCAGTGCCATATATGAGTGCTGCCTACCAGTGCACATCAGTGAAGTAGAAAAATCACTTAAAATTACAAAATTTTATAAACAGAACTTAAAAAAAGATTCTTCAAAATTTTCAGTTGTTTTTGGTTTGTTTAGCAACAAATAAAGAACCCAGAGGTGATTAAATACCACCAAAATCAAAGCTCTGTAAAAAAAAAAAAAAAAAAAAAAAAAAAAAGCAAAGAAGGAAGAAAATACAAAATTTCATATGGGTACAGTGTTGCATATGACCGTGCAATTCTCAAAGTGTGACAGCACTGAAAGTGGAAAATTGGCCTGGGCCAGAAGGGGGTGACAGTGCCCGGTAGGCAAGAAGTCAAAAATAGTATTTTTTTTCTCAAAAATTGTTTTATAGTGAAAAAAAAAAAAAAAAACAAAAACCCACGCACAGGCGATCAAATACCACTGAAAGAAAGCTCAATTTGTGGGGAGACCACGCAATTGTCAAAGTAGCACAACGCAAAAAAATGGCCTGGTCAGGAAGAGGGGATGGGGGGTTGGTAAACCCCCAGCAGTACAAGTGGTTAATAGTAAAAAAAAGATTTTTTTTTTTTTTATTATTTTCCAAAATTGTCTTTTTTTGTTTATGCCGCAAAAAAAAATAGGAACCGCAGAGGTGATCAAATACCACCGAGGGGGTAGATCCTCTGGAGGTCAAGTGGTTAACTTTAGTAAACCCCCCTCCCCCCAGGTACTTGAATTAGGTACAAGCTGGGTCACTCTCAGTGCTGCGCCCCCACAGCATTCTATAGGAGGAGTACAATGCAGAGATCGGTCCACACATACACATCCTCGGCTCATAATACAGGCATAACAATATATTACTGGTGGATACAGACTGACACAGTAGGGTGTTGCTGGACACTTACCCTTGTGACAATGGGACAGGAAGTAAGCCTTCGCGGAGACGTTGTCCCTGTCAAACCTGTCTATAGATATGGAGGGGTATTCCTTCATCCGGCCGAGGAAGGAGCTCATGTTGGCACCATAAGCAGCACCACACAGCTCCCATACACAGCAACACCGGAAGCGGCACACCGAGGTAGGACACACCGTACATGCCTAAAACTTCGCATTCTGGCCAATCAGTACGCCGCAATCTCAGCTCCTCCCAGCGCACAGCGGCCAATGGAATAGAGGTCTACAAAGCACGTAGTAGCGGCGCTCTGTGTAGGAACATGAAGCCTCGTAACCTGTCGGTCCAAGCCTCTTCACTGATTGGCTAATGTCTAGGTCTTCTCTCCGCCCTCGAAAAGAACAGCGCGTCATATGTTGCCTGGATACCAGGCTGGACTCTAACGGCCACTGATCGGGTGTTTGCCGGTGCGGATCGTGGGAACTCAGGTGAGGAAAGCTTGGGAGCCCCTGCCTGCACGAAGGGAAGAGACAGTCTGTTCAGGGGGTTACGATGTATTTATAAAAGAGATGTAAACATGATGATAGTGAGAGCTAATGCTGTTTTACAGAAAACCTTAGCTGGCCATATGGTCGAATTCTGAAATAATTTTCTTTCAAAAATCTTCTCGTTCTAATTTCGCACCGTTAGTGGGCCACAGCGACGGTCAATTTTTGAGCGATCATTGAATTTGAGTGATCAGGCATGTTGGACGTTTTTGGAAAAACAAACTAATTTCTAATTCAGGCAGGCCATACATGAGTCGGAGTCTGAACAAATTTTCTTTAGAAAATCAGAAATTGTGTGCATTCTGGAATTCGATGGTGCCACCATTGATTTTGAAATTCGAACAACCAAGCCTTAGAAAATTCTTAGAAAATATTTTTGAAAGAAAATTCTTTTGGAATTTGACCCATGTATATCCGACTTATTGCAGGCCATACATGGGTCGAATTCCGAACAAGTTTTCTTTAGAAAATCAGAAATTTTGTGCGTTTTGTAATCCAATGGTGCCACCAATGAATTATGCTTGAGGTGATTGTAGCCGTATTAGTGCATTTGTGACAGGAACAATTGAGTACTGTCCGGGATACTTTTTATATTGTGCACTAACATACAATTTTGAGGACAAGCTTTCGGGGAATGTCCCCTTCTTCAGGTCTAAGCAGTACTGAAACAAAGATTTAGCAGAATGTTAGAAGAGATGTGGAGGAAGGGAAAAAAAAAAAAAAAAAAAAACAGAGATAAGACACAGCAAAAGCAAAGTCTGGGGGGGGGGGGGGGATTTCCAACATGCCCAATCACTCAAATGCAGGCCATAGACGGGTTTAAAACTGGCTGTTTTAAAAAAAAAAAAAAAAAAAAAAACAGAAAATCAGTCGTTCAATAGGCCAACATGTTACCACCAACGGTAAAAAAAATTGTCCGATCATCCTGTCTACGGTCGGCATTTAATTACTTCTGTCCATGCAGAGAGCTCTGCTATTATATTTGACATGAAAAAGTATTGCGGTTGCAACAATTGTATCTATTTGTAACCATTTCGGATACAGATGTTTTTATTTGCATACAAGTAGATACATTGTTCCAACCGCAAGACTTTTTCATGTCAAATATAATAGCGGACTGGAATTCTTCTTTTTCTTCTTCTTTTTCTTCTTCTTTTTCATCTTCTTGCAGGTCACTGCTCATGGGCAGATTGTTTATCGGTAAAACGATCGGCCAATTTGCCCATCATTGCTGGGCAAAATCAGCCGATTTTCTTCCAACTTTACTGATAAAAAAAAGTGCCAAAACCCAAAAAAAAACGGCCGACCAATTAACCCACTAACGGTGCTAAAATCGATCTATTATTTTTTTTTTTTCGGCCGAAAAGTCGGCCAAATTTTGACCCGTCTATGGCCTGCAAAACTCGATGGTAGCACAAACATCGTCCGTTTCTGTGGCCTACTAATGGTGTGAAATTTGAACAAAAATTCTTAGAAAGATTTTCAAAAGAAAATTCTTTTGGAATTCGACCCATGTATGGCCCGGCAATACATGGGTCGATTCTGAACTGATGCAGGCCATGCATGGGTCGAATTCCGAATGAATTTTCTTTAGAAAATCTTAAATGTGTGTTTTCTAATCCGATGGTGCCACCATTTCAAAATTTAACCAACCAAGCATTCAATTTCTCCTCATGTTGCTACAGAAAAGAATTTTCGTGGCCAAGAATTTTCTTTCTTTTCCAGTTCACAGCTTTCTATTTCCTTCATGGTTCTCCTATCATTGATTAAAGACAATTCGAAATTCTTCGGCATGAAATTCAACCCCATGTAGCTATGGCCTGCAATAGTTTAGCTATGGTAGAGTTTATTGTATAAGTGAGGTAGTCCATTCTGTTCTCCTGTCCAGTTGTCCTAAAAGTAAATCCTTGGTACCCAATGTTGTAGACCTATGGAATTGTGAAATTCATTCGATCATTTTTTTCAAAAACTTTCCAACATGCCCAATCACTCAAATTTGTTGGTCACAGGAAAATTGTCCGTTTCTGTGACCCACTAATGGCGCAAAATTCAAACGAAAATTCTTAGAAAAGAAATGAGCATGAGCTGTGACCTGGAAATTCTTTTCTGTAGCCAACATGTGAAATTAAATTGGCCTTGGTTGGTTGGTTGAATTTTGAATTCAATGGTGGCACCATTGGATTAGCAACAAAATGCATGAAATTTCTGATTTTCCAATAAAGAAAATTTGTTCGGAATTTGACCCATGTGTGGCCTGCATAACAGTAATTACCAGAACTGAACTGCATTTACCTAGCAACAGTATATAAAGACAGTTCTAACCTGCTATAACAGTCCCCATTCTATCTCAATGGCCAATGATTGATGAAAGAAAAAAAATCTGTTGATCAGCAAAGTTGGGGCCCTTGAAGAAAGCACAACAGTTCCCAGCAAACAACAGATTAACTTGTGTAATGTTAGTCTCTTACCTGACCTAGGGCACCTTCTTCTGGGTCTCTAGATGCTCTGATTCAGTAAAAGTCCATAGTCAGATAGGGATAGAAGTTGCTGTGATCTCTCTCTTTCAATCCTGTTGATACAGTCCCTCTTTTGCTTCCTTACAAGTGGTGTGAGTGCTCTCTAGTGCAGTCTGATCACACCAGTCATCCAAATCACACCTACCACTGTGTGATGTGCAGTCTGTCACGATTGTGGTCAGATGGGGCAGAGTTCTGTTCAGCCAGCAGCAGCAGCCCACTCTTTTCCACACATCTGCTTGCTTCCAGACGGTCCTCCCCTGTTTTCTCACCAGTCTGCAGGCCCTCTAAACTTACTCTGTTGCATCAGCCAATCACCTCCAGGATCGAATCAGACCCAGCCAAGATTCCCTGCACTGGAGACATTCCATAGACGAGTATTGCAAAGTAGTCTCCTTAAAGATTGCTGCTGCGTTTTTGCATTATTATTCAGTTTTAACCCTGTTCACACTGCAGAAGGATAATACAGCAGCAATAAAGGAAGAAGTTCCACAGCAGTTATCGGCTGCAGTCCAGGTTACTTAGGCATAGTATATTTTTACATAGTTACATTGGTCTAGCTTGGTCTATGTACACCATACCTGGCCGATCCCCTTTGTAGTATTTTCTGAGATACATATAATACTTCTTTAGTGTCTATAGGCAAATTTTCTTGTGAAATTAAAGAGCCGTTGAAATAAATAAAGTGTGATTTTATTTTATCACACAATGGCTTAAAATAACAATGTAAAGTGTATCATGAACAGTTCCATGTAAATGTCAAAGCAGAAGTTATAAAGATGTGTCACCATTATGTCCGTTGTCTCATGTGCTTTTTGTCTTGTTCAGTGCAGTTGAGTCTGATTACGTGGTGCTTGTCCTTCAGAGTCTTTGGAAGTAGATATTAGTGACTATTTCTAGTCTTACAGCATGCACCTGTTCCAGCTTCTAAGCTTTGCTTATGCATATCTGTATGGATGGACCGACGTGTGTGTGTGTGTGTGCGTCTGTCCGTCTCCGCATCTCTTAAGATGCCTTTTTATGATGCAAGTAAGCGTCATAATTCGTGATCTTAGAACCTTGTATGGCAAACAATACTGCTTAGCAGAGCAATTACATTGAAGGGAGGGGACGTTACATATATGGTCTTTTGATTGACAGCCACATATGTAGTGACCATAATAAGCTGGTGATGTTACATCAGCTTGCTCATTTGACCAGTCTCTGATTAAATAATATAAATTAAGAATGCATCTTTACAACATCTCAATAATGTTGTATAACCAGAAATCTACGTATGTAACAATCTAAACCGAACTAAATACACACAGTGACTATTAGTATATATTATGTAATACTTATTCTATTTTGATTCACTTCTAACACCCTTGACATTCTACCACCTGTAACCAACTATATTGGCACCTAGGAGAGAGAAGAAAGCAGTCTCTTCCCTCCTGGGTGACAAGGGTATGCTGTGTTTGGTACTCTTGCGTTTGAAATATAATTTTGAATATTAATCTGCCAGTTGCTAGGATGCTACCTGTACCTATTGAAGGTTATTGACCTTAGTATGAAATTGTAAGGGATTTGGTCATAACCTTGGTTACCGCCTAACACCCATCCCCAAACAGGATGATTGATCATTTGTTCTAAGGAGACACCCCTTTGATATGTTAGAAAAAGACTGACAGGCTGGAGAAAAGACAGCTTTCATTTAACACCAATCAGGAACATCTAACACTTGAGAGCCAAGGCAACCTTTTTGTTTGGACATTGGACTCTGCTCAAACCAAGGACATTGCAAGTATTCTGCCTTCTTAACTCCTTTCTTTTATTTCTCTGTTGTTTTATTGTTCTCTTTATATTTTTATAACATCTTTTTCTGTAAATATTTTAATTGCACCATTTTGACCTTTTTAGTAATAAATCCTATTTTGAAAAGTGTTGAAACGGTCTCTAAAGCTTTTAATGCAAACTAAAGAATCCCTGTTTCTTGAAGAGTGCTACTGTATGTAATAATCCTCTGAATATATCTGCCTGTGGTGACCGTGTGTATTACAGACGCTTATACTAATA